TTCCAACAGCAAAAAACATTGCATGGAATTCTATTAACTTCAAAACCATTGTAGAGTGGGATGGCAAACCCACCGATTTTGTCTACACAGTTGAAATAAGAAAGTGAGTAGAAGAGTTTTTATACGTTTTTGTTCATGGAACTGATTCAGTTGCCTGCCATAGACCTCACAGATATACCGTAATTATTGCTAAGCATTGTTTTCAAAATTGAGTGAATATGTATATTGTGTTTGTTGTGCATTCCTTGTTAGTAAGTGCCCCCCTTTAAATATTATTGCAGAAAAAAACACATGTAGGAAGCGCTGTGGTTTTAATGATTATTCCAATGGTTCAAACACAAGGGCATTTAATGAGCTTGCTGGGCAGCTCTCAAAAATACAGGCCTCCTTCAATGGGTACTTGATTCTGTTAGCAAATATTCTTAGCTGTGAATCATAATTTAAACATCTTCCTGTTGCCCATACTTCTAATGGAGGTGAAACAAATGCTGATTTGTGCATTTATTGAGAGTTTGGAGGTGCCTGGGGAGAATTCAACAGAACTTAAATTGGAATGAGTTTCTCTCTGATCACAATCACAGAGATAATTTTAATCTCATTTACCAGCTTTGCCTTGCGCAATACTGTACAGTAATTTCGGTCTATTCATTTTATTATCCCACCCATATTGTGCAGTAAATTTCATCTTAATGATTGATATTGTTAGAGCTGCATGTCCTTGTAGTTAGATGGCAGCAATAAAGGATATTACATCTGTGTGTTCTAAGAAATGTTGAGCAATGCTTATCCCCATTCACTTTTCTGGGTTTGCCTTGCTGAGGCGTGGAACATTTTTTTTGTCCAATGATGTATGTACAGGCAGATGTGCTGATAACAAGGGTATTGACATAGGTGTGACCTGTGCATTGCTCTTCTTGTTCCGGCATGCACATAGCTGTCTGCCTGGCTTGGAGTCTTTAGATGTAACATTTAAAGCAATGCAAACACGTATAAAGTGCCAGGAAAGGAAAACCTAATTCCTGTGGACAACATTGTGCAGCTGTGGGTTTTATTAACCGATAGACAAACACCAGGGAAATTCATATCTCAGAGCTGTGTCATTGAACCCCAGACATATGTACAAATATTTGGGCGGTAACGTTGCTTTAGGTATAGCATTTCTGCAGATAAAAAAACGCGGCTGGGGAATTTTCAAATCGTCTATAAGAATTTAGAGCAATTTATAGAATGGATAGCAATAAATAAAATAAAAAGCAATTTGTATAAAAATCAAAACGGATAAATCTGAGCCACTGTAATAACATTTTCCAGTTACACAAATTAAAAGACGAGAGTGAAATACTTTTCCAATAAACAGGGGATTCACACTGCCTTTGGTGGATCATGTGACCAGTGCCAAGGCAATTTAGTAATGTGGTCTCTGCTGATGGAAATGATATTCCATTAAACAGAGATACTAATTGGCCGGCTCTGCCTGAAATTTAGTGCCCTAAACCCCGTAGGGAAAGACTATAAATCCAGTTCCCTGCAGTGGTCACCCGACCGATAATCTGTTTTCTGCAGAAAATGTATGTTTTCAGAACCGAAAACCCACCAATAAATAAATGGTCATAGCTGCATAGACAAGACATAGAAACAAGTTTAATCATCAGGGCTATTGGAGAGAAAATTAAATTAAGGAAAATAAAAAAAATAAAAAATCAGTACATCTCTGCAATATGTGCATATTTTCCTTGGTTTTGTCCATTTTTTTAAAATGCTGCAAGTACAGAAACAACTGGTGACCCTGCCAGACATCCAGTGAGCTTCCAAATTCCTGTAGTAAGTTTAAAATGCTGCCTCTGCTTAACTAAACTCAAGCAATGTTGTCAGCCCTGCCTGAGTTCATTGGACTGGATTGCAGAACACCTCCCCCTTAAGTCATAAAGATGAGAAATGGGGAGTTATTTATTGCTGTGGGGCTTCCGAGTATAAGCTTGTACTTGAAATGAATGAGGAGTGCAGAGCATTTTGAAGATTTTGACAATTGGAAGTGCAACTTAGTAAGCAGTATATCGCTGGATCAGAGACAAGTTTAAACTTAAATATAAGACTGGGTGGGAAGACTAACATATAAATGTAACTTTTTCATTTTAAGCATAAACAAATTGCAGAAAGTATAGTTATAAACAATTTGCTTGCCATTCTTGCAGCCAGTACGTTGGTGATTGGAAAAAGAAGTGCATCTATACAAGCAATACCGAATGTGATGTCACAGATCTTCTACAAGATGTCAATGCTACTTATGATCTCCGAATCACTTCAGAAATGCGATCAGAAGACGAGGTTACTGAAGAGTTTCCCTATGCGGATGGCCCAAGCTTTAACCCCCATGATCAAAGTATGTGACATTCTTTACATGTATCTAATAATATTAAGATTGAGTGAATAATACATACTTAAGCAAGTCAAATGTACTATCTTTTAAAGGGTGAATGAATTCACTGCTAAAGGAAACCTATGCTGAGACATAGGCCACCATTGCTGACCTTCTTTAGAAAATGCTAGTTGCCTGACTTTTCCTGGTTTAAATGCAGTAAGGGGGCCAGATCACACTATTGTGCCATATGTTACCGCAACGCATGAACATTATGTGTGCAAGTACGATGGGGTGCCAATCAATTTCAATACCAGCTCAACGCGCTAGGCAATGCACCTGTGCTGCTGCAAATCGCAACGCATCGTGTATTGCCATGCATTGTATTTCAAAAAAGGGTTAGGGCTGGTAACATGTTAACGCACAATGTAACACTCAGTGTGTGTGTGGGTGTGTCTTACCACACTGGGACAGTTTGAACCTGGCTTACTGGCCCAGAAAAATCATACAGCGGGAAGTTGGAGCAAAGTTAGAACTTTCTTATCTGCCTGTTTGTTCCCAGTCAGGGACTCAAAAAATAATGATGCTATTGGATCAGCATGAAGTCCAGGGATTTAACATTTTCAGAAAAAGATGTAACCAATGGAAGCCAACATACTAGTGTTGCTGCGGGAGATGAGCATAATGACTAAAGTGCACCTGACCTAAGAATAGTAGAGGGTCTCCTTCTGGAATTGCTACCTGCCTGACTGTGTCTAGTTTCTACATTTTTGAGTTGCAGGCCTGAAAATAACATCATGTAAATGATTGTCAGGAAAGTGTTGGAATTCGTTCTCTCTATATTTGTTCCAGATCAGTAACCTCGAAAGTACTAAAGTCAATACATCAGCCTGACAACCATGAATTAATATTCTCTTAAGCAGAGCTCAACAATGGCAGCCTACATGATTCTCAAAAGAGAAGTGTATGTTAAATCTGAACTCCTGACAGGTCTACCAACAACGCCTGTTAATGCAATTGTGTAGTCATTAAAACGTATTCAGTGCATTTTTAAATGCAGCTAGTGAACCTGAATCGGGCTTGATGTCAGCGTCTTGTAATTCCCTTTACAGTAGAACTATAGGAGAGGAAAGGGCAGCACTAAAAAACCAATCCAAAATGCAAATATACTGACAAGGAACATGCTGATCGGAGTAGAGACTTATCTCTGTGCCCACTTACACTATCCACTTATTTAAAAACTCAATTCTAAGCTACCCTAAGAGCCTGCATCTTTTGGTAGCTATGTGTTTGAGTGCCACTGGAGATGATTCATGGTGAACCCTGTCTTAGCCAAAACAGTAGCACATACATTTTTTTCACCAAACATCACTTCCCTTTTAATACTCTATAACAGCCCTGACTGGAGCTACTTTAGAACCTCGGGAGGAGGCCATTGTTGTCACTTATTATTATTATGATACATTTAGCTTTCAGCTAGGAGTGACCTCCATATACAGCACCATAAAAGAAGTATAATTACTACATGAAATGAACCTAAACAAACTGTCTTCTCCTGACACATGTATTGTTTATTATAATGTGTTTTTCTTTCATTTTAGCAATCATTGGAAAACCAGCTTTTGAAAGTTTTAACTTCAATGAAGACCACACTCAACTGAAAGTTGTCGTTGCGGATCCAATAACACCCTACAAATTTGGAAATAAAACTTCAAAGACAGTTCGAGATATATTTGGAAATGACTTTCAGTATACACTGTTTTATAGGAAGGCCGGCAGCACAGGAAAGGTAACTATTTTCCTTTGTCATTATGATCCTTGTTCTTTTTGTCTTTAGAACTTTGTAGGCAAAAATGTTTCCATAGTTAAATTCAGCAACTAGTGCCAGAAAACTTGCCACACCACCGAAGTGCCCAAACTTTAATGCTGAACTTCAGGCATATATAGCAGGAGTACAGAGCAGAGGGATGAGCTCATCAGTGTTCCTGCTCCTTCACTGCCCACTACTATACCGCAGTAAAGAAAAGTGAAGTTGCTGTTTGGCAGAGCTGTGTACGTCTAAAGATAGACAGCAATACAAATCCTTTGGCATATAAAACAGCTCCCATATTATTATTTTACCTAAGCAGTTTGTTCTTTTTTTTTTTGTTTGACCCACTGCTCTTTCACTACATTATTGTGTAGATAACAGCCTTTTTCAATAAAGAAAGACATAAAGGGTAGCGACCCAGAGCAACCAAATATTATAATCCAGAGCAACCAATTAATATAGTAGCCCAAAGCAACCAATTAATATAATAACCCAGAGCAACCAATATAGTAGCCCAGAGCAACCAATTAACATCTCATCTGTAGCAATTTGAAATGAATTTATGAATTACTAAATTTTTCATTTCCAATTGTTCTAGCCATGTTTTGTTGAATTCACCCAACAGACCACAGAACAAGCCCACATTAGCCCATAAATAATAAAATATATCATCCTTTTTGGCCAATTCGGCAATTGCAGACTGCAGTCTAGTCCTAGATACCATTCACACTTTGATATCATAGTTGGGCACAAAGTATAGGGAACCATTTTGTATTTTGTTCTGAAAATACACGCTATAATGTAGCAGTATTTGGGTCTTATATTTTCTTTTCTCTTGTCTCTGTAGAAGGAAGCGCATTCTGCAACCAATGAAATCGTAATTAGCACATCCAAAGGGGAAGGCTATTGCTTTTTTGTGCGGGCAACCATTCTCTCTCGCAGAACAAACCGTTACAGCCAAGACTCTGATGAAAAATGCGCTTCATCTGAAGGCAATGGTAGGTACTCAAAGAATAGACTGTCTGCTTTTGAAGCATTTTGTTGTTGTTAAGGGGAAAAAATATGCTTTTTCAAAAGAAGATCCGGTCGTAAGACATTTTACACCAGTATTACATTTCTAAAAAACAGAGAACAATAGCAAACCGTTCTCATTGTAAATTCACCCTAATAACTTAATGTATCTAAACCCTTTGTGCAAATGGAAAACCCCTTTAACCTCTGGGGGAAAAGTGTTTTATCCTTAACCCCTCAGACACAATTAACTTTATCACTAAATGAAAACATGAAACAAGTCATTGTGCTAATCAATGATCTGAAAATAGTAAACATTGTACTACCTAACGATATGCATGAACAAGGTGTACAATAATGCAATATCTCTCCAAAACGAGAATTCTTTCATCTTTAAAGTTTCATGGATAATTCAGTATGTATTCACTTTGTGGAAATGCTCTTATGAGCCCAGTCATAACTGGTAGTTAGTTACATTTACCTGAACTTGTTCTGTAATGTCACTTCTCCGATGCACTTCTTCTGTTCTAATAAGCATCAGGGAGACACGCTTATATCTATACAAGTAGCCCAGACACCTTAATCCAATACCAATTGAATGTGTCACTGTGCTGCCTGTGTGGATATAAATGCTGGGCTGTCTGCATGATGCTAATTAGAACTGAAGTGCCTTGGAAAAGCTCCAAAATGTCTTGAACATTAGAGAGCAAGTCCCGTTGAATGCAACTAACTACTACTAGGTATACCTTGGCCTTAATGAGAGGGAGAACCTTCAGACACATTATCACAGTGCTTCTTTCCTCTGTTGAAGTAGCCCACCATACCTTTATGTACAATGTGCCGGTGTGTAATTTAGACCATGCCTCTTAATATACTTTTGCTTTACAGCTGCAGGGAGTTTTGCAGGCTCCACTGTATTTCTGTACCTCTGTGTAAGTTGACTCTTTCATTATGACTTCATAGGACATGTGGGAGATGGGTCCTCTTGCATAATGCTTTCTTTATTGCTTCGCAGTCCCTTCCCACGGCAAATCAGGTCAATAAGTCAATTGCACTTACTTACAGCATCCCCTCTGTTCTCATAAACTCAGCCTCCTATTTCACTGTCTCCCGTTTTTACCAACACATTGCTGGTTAATGTGTTGTGACTTTCTCAGAATAGTACACTTGTTAGAGGTGGTGTTAATTACTAATCATTAGCAGCGGCAATGACGAGAGTTCAGCAGTCCCTTTGCTGATATTTGAGGTTAAAGTGCTGCAATTACTCATTTATGTACAGTTTTATATTGTGCTTATGAAAATAATACCCTGCAGAAAAGATTACATCCATATTGCTGATGCAATAAAATATTTACTTATGACAACATGATGTCAACTATGATAGATAAAGATTCTAGATTCAATTTACAGTACTTTTCACTCTGTAAGATCCTTGGAACTGAGTAGATGGATCACTAATACATGGTGTTTATGTACGAAAGGTGAAGAGAATGTACACTTAGCAAAAGGACTTTTATCAATTGAGTGAATTAGGTCAACTCTGAATACCCAAATGACGTGCAGGGGATTTCACATGATTGGATGAATTAATAGATCTCGCTTCCCTCTATGTACTTAGTTGAGAAAGAACTTTGCAAAGTTCATATTTTCTCCTCCTTTAGTACCTCAACCCCCCCTTGTGTGTGGACAAAATATGATATGCTGAAATGTGGCAACTGAGTTGATTACTACAGGAGACAATAAATTGGCAAGCTATCACATGTAGTCCTTTTGAAACCACATGTATCCTTCCAATCAAAAATCTAAGAGGGTCTCATTAGGAACCATCTACCCCCTGTAAACCAAACCATATATTGAGAGATTAGACGTAGCCTATATGGACACCTTTAAACAGAGGCACACCAAACAAATTATATATTTCCAGTAATCCTGCAATATGCAGTAGTAACCAACAAATACAACTACAGGTCTGCAGTATGGCAGCTGTTAAAGTGGTGACTTCATACAAACAGCATTTTGTAGGTCTATATAGACTCAAAATCTATTTCTGTGTATTTTAGCATCATGCTTTACTGTATACAGTATTGTTAAGCAAATATTTTTTATTAATCTATTGCAAAGTACATTACCTGGAAATCTTGCCAGTAACAGTACTTCCTGTTGCAGGCTAACAATTGCAACTAGCAGCAGACTTGTCAACTCTTTTGTGTGTGCGCTCCTATAGTTGCTCACTGGGCTACCCATTAGGTCTGTGAAGATGGCCATATACCTGTAAAAAAAATTTAGTTCAACCCGCGGGCTGAACTAAAGAAATTGACGAGAATCTTCCATCAACACAAACAGCGTGTTGATAAAGGAATCGCCGTTGTCTACATTGTATTCTGACAGGTGCCGCCAGCTACCCGATTGACTCATTGGCTGCCGGCTCTGATCGCATGATGATTTTCCAGCCGGTCGAGGAATACCGGCTGAAAGGGAACCGACAGCTCCAATAAACTGGCCGAATTTGGTCCGGTACATTAAAAACCGGCCGAAATTCGACCAGTGTATGGGCAGCCCAACGACCAACTGAAGGAGCTCGCAAAAATGATTTGCTGAAGAAAACTGTATATAGTGAGGCAAGAGGCCAAACATACTGAAAATGTATACATTTTATATGCTGAACCAGCATTTTGAATGAGCATTAAATATTATTGTAGCCCCACACTCCCTGACATTATCGATAATTGGTGAACTGGATGAGCTCATGTAATAGTTGCCACTAGTTAGGGCAAGCTTTTGGCACACTTTTAACTGACTGTGTTAGTGATCTCCTAGACTTGTAGTGTAACACTTTTATAGATGTTGTCTGCAAGTACTAACAGAGGGAGCTTTGGTGGAAAAGCTAAATGTCATAGCATATGTATCTGTACAGATACATATATTTATAACCTATACCTAGTGGCCTAATGCATGCTTCTGTGATCCAGTATGTTGTAATAATGGCACCCTAACCCTTGTTTTTCTGTTCTCTTTCCAGAACTTGATTTTACTATTCTGGTTGCTGTAATTGTAGCTGTGGTCCTTGTCATAGTCATTATCATTCTGTTGGTAGTCGTGTGCGTGTGTCGAAAGAAGAAAGAAGAGAATACAAAGGAGACAGAGCCACTCAGTGACGTTTAAATCCCATCTCTGAGATCATTGTCTGTGTTAACTACTGCTGTATGTGATTGCACAGTACCCGCTACTGCAGAGGAGTGGAGCGAGACTCTGAGTAGTGAAGGACAATCTTAGTTTCCATGAAACGTTTAGAATTATTATTTTTTCTTGGTCAATACTGACTTAAATTTTGGGTTTAACTACTAATATGCATTCCTTTTTGTGATATGTTTCAATTAATTATAATATGTATAAATCTGGATGGGCTAAGATGGCTTGGGTAATTCCGTACTAAGAAGCCTAGTACAAAGTACATGTTTAATGATATTGATTGTAATAATAGCTATCAAAATAATATAATGTGACCAGAAAGCACTACCAAGGGTACAAAGTATGATGTGTGAAAGGGTACGGTGCATAAGCACGTGGTACAATAAATGTCTCTTGTTATTTAATATATTGCTGTAATTAGTTCTATGCAGTAAGCCTCAGCAACCAATTAACAGCAGTAAAATCTGAATTCTGGATGGTTGTAGCGTTTTGTTTTTTTAATTAAAGGCCTTTAGAGGCATTGCTTTAACAGATATGAAATCAGATATGTGGCTTCCAGACTGCAGTTCTTTAATAGCTGCTGTTAATCATTATTGTTTACTTGGCTCCCATTACTAGAAAACCACTCGTAGGAACGTAAGCATAGTGCAGATCTACACGCCTCTAAGAGTTATGCTGATGCAACAACTGGAATGTTCCAGGTTGTTTGACTTATTCCTGAAATGTTGTATTATAGACATATTTTTTTATTAATGTTTAGCAGTGGAATGCAGAGTTTGCAGCCTGCCTACAGTTGGAGGGAACATAACCTGACAGCTAGTATCACACTACACTACCACTAGGTAATGAAATCTGAGCTTTCAATTGGTTGTCTCATTGCTGATATTCCTAAAGGGTCATTCCACCAAAAATGCAATTTTACAGTGTTTAGCAGATGAATATTAAGCCGCCTAATGGTGCCTTCTGTGTCTCAAGTACCGCCAATGATAAGAGATGTGTGGGTTCTGCAATCTGCACTGCAAGAAATCTGCATTAATCTGGTCATGCAAATTACAATTTGAATTGAACATTCATCCCCCATTTAGTTTGTGTGTGATAAGGCAGGTCCTTGCACTACATAGTTGTTAGAAGGTCTAAATGGGGTTGTATGACCAGATTGTAATATAAATGTTAAGAACCAGAAACTGTGGCAGGAAGAATTCAACTGCTGGAGCCCCCAAATTATAAAATAAAGTAGCAGATGATGCAGCTCACTAGACAGCACCAATAAGTTAAATATCACTTTGAGTGGACTCATCATGTTTAAAGATGGCGGCACTACCTGTAAATAATTTCCCTTTTTAATTTATGAAAGGAAACTGACATAGTGCTTTGTATATTTAGAAAAATAATGTATACACACAATCATAAACATTAATATGCGCGAAATAAATACATAGGTGGCATAAAGCTGTCCACTGAGCCGCAGGTTGTCCTGTCAGCGCCAGCCGGCTCAACAAACTTTTCCTGAAAAGGAGTCAAGTTGGCTTAACCGTGACAGTATACAATAGCAGGGGAGATTCTTACATCCACTGCTAATGTGGTTGGTGCATGAAAAACCATGTAGACAAAAAGCAGATACTGGCATAATGGTTCCTATGTATTGTTGCACCAAGAATAAATTAAATTTGGAGGATCTATGAGTGCCAGCACTCATAGATCCGTCAGTCAAATTTTTGTCATCAGTCAAATTATCTGACTGAGAAGCAATTCCCATCCTTCAACACCATGTGTTCACTCAAGGGCCACATACTAATTCCAGTGTCTTGAGATCAATCTCAGTGACAATGAACAAGTTCAGTTCACTGCCCTGGATCTAGTATGTGAAATCGGAGTTCAAACCAAAACTCCCCTATAACCTAATCTACTGCTTTACTTATGGAACATTCACAGTAAATGGAGGAATAATAGGACCAAGTGGGATTTAAAGAACTCTGGGTACATTTTTCATTAACTCTTGCAGTGGGGCTACCCCTGCAGTGCAAGGGTTAACTGCTCATTTTGGTCTAGGGAGGAAAATAATTTTGAGCCGTAGACCAAAACGAACAGTTAACCCTTGCAGTCTGGGGGTAGCCCCACTGCACCCGGAGTTCTGCTTTAAAGGAGAACTACGAGGTGAGTGCTTTTCACTTACCTCATAGTTCTAGCCGACCTGTGACAATGAGACTGTCACAGGTCAGCTCAGTAGATTGAGAAGTGAGCGAACACATACTGGCGCTCGCTCACCTCTCGATCCTGTCACGGCTCTCTGCCATGACAGGCGAGGGGCTGGATTCCCCCCCTCCGATCCGCCAGCACTGACTGGCGGATCGGACGGGGGAGCGGGTACAGCTGGCTCTGCCTCTACATAGGCAGAGCCAGCTGTCACTCACACAGCTGGGCGGATCCAAACATAATTGTCGGGATCCGTTTCAGGTGCGGTGTCTCAGTATACCGCGAGCTGTAGCTCGCGGTATACTGAGCTTAGGGTGAAGGGAGGACGCTAGTTTGTGTCCTCCCATTACCCTAAGGAGAACTATAGGGAAAAGCCTTAACCCCATAGTTCTCCTTTTAAGCCAGTTATTATTCCTAAAAAAAATGCCAAGCCTAAATGAAATTTATTTTATTTTTACTCGGGTACATAAACCAAGGGAAAGAATGGTGTAAACTGTGCAAAGCCAATTTAGAGATTATTCCTTTTATAGACCATAAATGTATCTTCATGCAGATTCTATTCTCTCTTTCCATTGCTGCTATAATACAGCCATATGACAAACCCCACTTCAATTGAGGATCACTGCCTTTAAATAATATAAAACAAGAGTCTTGTTTATTTGGGAGATGTTTATTTGAAATCTTAGAGACTAAGCACTTATCCAAGAAATATTGTATTTTTATAGGGGGTTTTGTTCATACTGTCATATTCGATGATTACTTTTATACAGTGACAATCAAGGGTTTTATTTATATAATATATGATTTTTATATATGTATTGATATTATTGGTTAATATCTTTTTATGTGTTTTGTAAATGTTGGATAACTTATTTTTCATAGGATTTATTGTTAAAATAAAGGTGAATGGTGAAAAAAAAATAAAATACAGTGTCTTGTTATCAATATACTTCTACTACGATAAAAGTGATCTGACAGTTTGCAGGAATTCATGGTGAGCCTGAAAAGGAAGAATGAGCAGAAGTGGTTAAAAAAGTGCAAAATGGTGTGGGGGAATTAGAGCTCAATGTTTTGCATGACATAGCTAAAGATTAATGGGACTTCCAATTAAGCTGGCCATACACTGGTAGCTTTCCGAACGAACGCCAGTCACTTTATTTTAGAACAGTATAACTGTGAGAGAGGGTATAGGGCTTCAGACACCCATGGCAAAAACAGACAGACTCCAGACTCGCCAATCCCTTCAGACTTCCTCAGTGCAGAAATATTAGAAGAACAGGCTGGGCAATAGAGCAACAGCTGAATAGGGGTGGGCATGAGATTTTTCATAGGGAGAATATTATTCCTGTCCCGTTGCACTGCCAGACCAGAGTCCCATGGTAATATAATGGAGGGTGCTAAATGACATGTGGATGGCGCTGCACAAGTCCGAATGTAGAAGAAGTAGTCACTCACACACAAAGGTCCAATGCATCAATCCGTCCTTTTATTGACATCAGATACACATGGCATCACAAGTACAAAGCAACGTTTCAGAAACCTAGCATGGTCCCTTCATCAGGCAAGAAGCAAAGTGACTTTGCTTCTTGCCTGATGAAGGGACCATGCTAGGTTTCCGAAACATTACTTTGTACTTGCGTTTCCATAGGGAGAAACACCAGACTGGTTCCTGAGGTCCATATTAGCTCCTGGTACCTCCCTCAGTCATAAAGCTTCTCTGGCTCTCCTCCCCAGACCATTTCAGACCCCTCCTGGGTCCACATGTGCCCTCCTCCAGGCTTGAGGCCTAGTCAGTTTCTCCAACACTTGATAAGAGTATACATTGGTAGAAAGTGTTTCCATGCATCCAGTAAACCAGCATTCAATTCTTGTCTGTATATGGAATGTAATGACATATCTTCCCACGATTTGCACACTTGGTGAGCCTGGCCTTGACAGCGGCAAGTTCCCTTTTTTTTGCCTTAAATGACATGTAACTGTATAGGTCTGGAACAGCAGAGAGGTCAGCGCTTCTAGTTAAATCGAGGCATTGTTCAGGAAGTGTTGACTAGATTTTCCTGGATTGCTGCATACTGTATGTAACTATAATGTAGTCTCACACAAAAAATGGTTTATTCATGTAAGTGCTTACAGTGTATATAAACCCCAGAACAACATATATTGCAGATTACCAGTCCTGAGATGTGGTGGCTGCATTATATTTCCTTTTTTTTTTTACATTTGCTGTACATACAGAAACGTACAGTATCTGTTCATCCAGTGTACTCATAACTTCCTGCGCCTCGAACTAAAGTCTCAAATCCGCTGTCCTAGGTTCCTTTTGTGAACTACAAACACCTTCCCCAATGTTATGGAAATGAGGAGTGGGAGAGGTGTTCTATAGTCCAAATCATGATAGCAGCCTAGGGTGACAACTAGGGTTGCCACCTTTTGTTCAAATGAAACCCGAACACTCTAGTGCTGCGCTGCAATTGTTGGGGGGAGAATATACAGGAGAAAGCGAGGAGAGACAGCCAGGGAAGAGAACGAGGAGAGACAAAAAGGAGAGAGAGGGGAGAGAGCAAGGAGAGGCAGCCAGAAGAGAGAGGGGAGGGAGCGAAGAGAGACAGCCAGAGGAGAGGGGGTGGGGAGAGAGAGCCAGGAGAGAGAGCAAGGAGAGACAACCAGAAGAGAGAGCGATGAGAGAGACACAGGAGAGAGAGGGGAGAGAGGAGAGACGGCCAGGACAGTGAGAGAGATCCAGGAGAGACAGCGAGGAGAGGCAGTCGGGGGAGAGAGTGAGGAGAGACAGCCAGGGGAGAGAGATAGCAAGCAACGCACTGTGCCCTTCAAGACTTAGCTGCATCCTATGTTTTAGACCCCTCCACCGAGCTCTGGCGTCCCTCTGTATCACATGCCTTCTCCATGCACTCAAGTTGGAACACCAGGGCTCTGTGGTTGCCCGTCTGCCTGACATTGTGACATCTTGTGTCTGGGTCTCAACCTG